CATCATCTCAGAAAAAGAAGTACAACAGCAAAGGAGCAGCATATTTGTGGTAAAAGACCATTTCTTAACTCATTTTGATAGATGAATTAATGAGCTTCTGTGTTTGCAGTACTTGGATTGATTTGGGTATTTCAGTTTCTCTGTCCATTAGGAAGTGTACACTGGAGTGCAGCAGCCTGGTGTTCTGTGTCCACTTGTATCAAATTACTGTTAATTAATGATTATTTCAAAATGCAAAATAAAGGAAGGATTTACTAGGAAGTGAATGTATATGGCGAAATAATACTTATACACCTTAAAAAAATTAAAGACACAGAAGCAAAACTTTGCCTATTAATAGAGGCTGAAGGGCCACAAATGACTGGTTTTTGGTTTTTTTTCATAACATTTGAACCAATTGAAATTAGACCAATTTTTTTTTTTTTTTAATTGTCTAAGCTGGCTCATTCTCATAAGAAGGCTTTTAAGTATCTAAACAACTTTCTAAAATCTGGTCCAAAGTTCACTTGATAGCTTTATTAAGTGTGCTTGTGTCTGTGTAAAAGCACAAAATAACAATGCAGTTGTTTGGAATATACACTGTGGATTCCATAGGGTAGCAGTGAAAAGAAGAATCTATAATAGGAGCTACTGAAGGTTATCATCTGATTTTCTGGGAACAAGTTAATTGGGCAATCAGGTGCCTAATTTGAGCATGCTATTTCTGCAGTTATTTACAAATTGTGTAATTTACATGCACAAGTGGCAAGATGCGCTTGCATGCATGCAATTACTTGATTTTTTACCCAATTGTGTTCTCTAAGTCACAAAAAAAAAAAAAAAGAAAAACAGACTCTGAAATCCAGTAAGACCCTGAGATATATACACATGTGAGTGTGTATGAGTGTTTTTGTATGTGTGTGTGTATATACATGTAAAACTATATATATTATATAGTTTTATATGTGTATATAAAATCTGGAATTAACAGGGAAGAGAAAGATTGTTTTCTTTACAAATAGAAAAAAAAGACACTAAGGGTCAATGGATATACATAGACACTGTATTATCTTCTTTCCTCTTAGTAAAACCTGGATTTTCTTTACATGTTGTCTTTTTTCAATTTCCATGGTTAAATACTTCATGGTAATTCACAGACATTTCATCTTCAAACACTGGGTTTGCTGATGGTGTACTTACTTTGATAAAACATAAAAAAATTGTGACTTTCCCAAGATATTCCTGCCAATTTGTTCCCTGCCTCCCATTTTAAAGGCACTCCAAGACTATAAAGTGTTCCATAATTCGACTGTTGTTGGACTAACAGTATTTGCCTATATACTTGTTGTTCACCTCCTTTTTGGTTTGGAGGATTTTTTTGAAAATACTGTATCAGATTGTATGTTGTTTCTATAATGTCATGGCATTGTGAGCAGCTTTCCCGAGGGCACTTTAGGAATTATTGTAATAAGATTATTCTTTATAAATTTCTGCACAGAAGAATGCTTTTGTTGCCAGACCAGATTGCCCTCTGGTACAAATTGAATATGGATTACATAAAGGACTAAAGCCACAAACCATCAAAGTTGGAGAGAAAGTTGATGTTAACGAGTCAGAAGTATAGATAAATCCTGCAGGACAAAGCTAAATTACCAGTATTTTTACTCGACCTTTAATCAGTAGTTTATAGTAAATCAATTTTGGATCTTCTGGCTGTGGCATTTTGATTCCTAAGCAGGCACCTGTCGAGGTTCTGTGTCTGAGGCCAGGCCGGTGACAGCCTGGCCATGCAGAGAATGTTCTGCAGTCACTTTGTGCTCTGAGCTCCAGTTAACTCGAGTTGCAGGAGCAGCTCAGTGCCTGCTCAGATCCCCTTTGTGATCCCCACACAGCCAGCAGGAACAGAAATGTCAGCTAAGCCTCCCTTCTGCTGGCAGTACTGATCAGAATCTGGAGTAATCACTTCCATTTTTCAGTCTCTTGCTTCTGTGTTGCTTTGGGCTGTGTCACTGTCCTAACACCTGATTTATCTCACACTTCTGCACTGACCAGTCCAAACCAGTCAGATTTCTTTGTTCTCCTGAGGAGGAGCTAGCCTGAGTGCTGTGGTCATTTATTGTCATCACTACATGTGATGACAGTTGCAGTTTTTGGTTTCTCTGTGGGAGGTAGGTCATTGTCTCTGACCCTCCAGAGAAATCAGAAGGAATGTCTTGAACACATCATGCAGTGTCTGTGTGCTACAGGGAACTGGATGGGGGTTCATCTTTGTCAAGAACCAGAACTTGATATAAAAGTTTAAGGATCTGTTTTATTGTTAATATTATTGACGTTGGTAACAGAAATTGCCAGCATCAGTATCAGAATGGAGATCAACCATACTCATCCCAAATATTTTTCTTTAGGAAAAGAAAAATATTTTGTTGTTAAAACAAAGCTATTTCCCAATTCCCCATTCACCCCATTCCCCAAAAGATCTGGAAAATGAGATAATTTTAGAAGTGGGAAATTTTAATGGCAATTTTTAGTACTGACTGTGCTCCAACTGCTCCTCTATGAAGCTATTGAACATTAAAACTCAGATCATCTTAGTCATAAAAGGGTTTCCACACAAAACAATGTGCCTGATTCTCTAGTGCCTTGCACAAACACAACAGGAAATACAAGATGCAAAGTGAGTCAAACTTCTGTTCCAATTTGCAAGTTTACACTTTTAATCAACACCAGTCATCACCTAGCATGTACCTGTTGGCAGGCCAGCCCTGCTTGTGTGAGTAAGCCGAGCAGAATGCCTGACTGCCATTTACTTTTCCTACAACCTTAGCCTGGTATGAATGTTAGCTGTCTAATTATTTACAAGTTCCTTGCAGTCCTTGCAGTTCCTGGCTGTCTTTATTCCTTGACCCTTCTGTTTTTCACAATAATGACTAGATAGGCAGCAGAACAGGAGGTAAATCTGTAGCCAAAAGCTCTTGTAGAACCTGCACAACAGATTCCAGCACCATGCAGTGTCCCAGATGTTCTTGGCACTAATTTCATTCTGTCACTCATTCTGATCCAGTACATTGAGATGGTTCTCTATTGCTTGCTGTGGCCTGGAACCAGCTGAAATGGCCCTGTTGAGAATCCAGGACAATCGCTGTGTTGCACTGCAAAGTAATTTCTTTCTTCTGCCGCCTGTAAATGTCTTGGAACATGATCTTGGGAGCAGGACATGGAATTAGAGGCTTGGTAGCCATTTGCAGAGATGTTGGAGATTGCCAGTGAGTCTTCCATCTGTTTGTTCAAAGTTAGAGGCATCTGCTGGTGACAGTTGTGCTGCGCCTTTTCTTAGAAACATTTTGATACGGAAACATTTGTAAAGCTCATCTTGAGCTTATATTTTCTTCAATCTTCTTGTGAGGTGGTAGCACTGGAACTGAGAGCAGTGTGGAGTTTGGACTTTAATCTGCATTTGTCAGGTTTTTCTAGTACATAACCAGACAGCTATAAGGTATCATAGTGTAGATTTTATTCTAGTACAAGTTCAGCAGAGTTTTGTGGCACCTTTGGAAAATACCTAGAAGGAAGTCATGGGCAGAAATTAAGCTGAGCATTTAGATACACTGTCTGTCTGCTAGATGGGAGCAGCCTTTCTTTGCATCCATATGGAGCTGGAAAATCTTAACAGCCAATGTACATCTCCACTTGAGTGTCCACTTGAACTTGGACTACAAGTTCATCTTGGACTACAGTGCTTTCACACTGACTGTGCTCTCAGCTCTATCCAAATGGGGGGTTTAAGGAGCTGTATGTCTCCACTTGCAACTTTTTGAGCTTATTCCTCAATACAGAAAGCACTCATGTTTCTTGTGCTTCACACAGACCATTTGTAACAGCAGTGCAGAAGGACTCTGGGAACAGGGAAATCAGCCTGTTTCTGATGGCAGCAGCCAGAAGAAAGTACAGGTTGCTCTGGTGTTTCCTCACATTCACAGCAAGAATTTTTTCAGCTGATGAAACAGAAGAGAATAGATAAATTTAGTAACAAGCTGGTGTTCTGCTAGTTTTTGACACATCTTGACACCTAGAATTTTCTCCTTATGTATTTGAATCTGAATGTGAGATCTCCCATATACCCTTGAGGGAAATAAATTTAGCAATATAAATGCTCTTTCAGCATTAAATATGAATTCTTTATGTAATGAAAACTAAAGATGGACTTGAACATTCTAAAATGTTTGAGTGTTGGTATTTACTGCTTGCCAATCCTCTTAAAGATTCAGGTTTGATTCTAGAGTCCTTAACGTAGTATGTGATACCCAGCATCAATTAATATATGATGTTTAATGGCAATGGCCAGATAAACAAAAGTTACTAAAATGTTTGTAAAAAGCTGTCTCTGGAAGACAGGAAAAAAGAAAACAGTTGAAACGGATTTCCTCAGGGAACATGAGAGGGCTGTGAAGGCAGGATGTGAGTTTGTTTGAATGGAAGATATCTAAGAGAATGATTTTTTTTTTCTATTTTAGGCAAAATGGAAAAAGCAATATGTCACTACTTGAATTATTAAAATTAGAATTAAGCACTAATTGACGAACATGATCTTACTTAATGCTGTAGCTTAGGAAGTTCCAAATACAAAAAAAATTACATAAAAATACAGAAAATTAGCTTAAAACATAACCTATTTTAATGTAAATCTATAAATTTGTGTAAATCTTTTCAAGATCTAGTGTAAATATAAGGGCTTCTTGTCTACAAAGTTGCTTGGTCAAAACATGCTTTGTCTGTAATTGAATTATTTCTTACCAAATGACTTCAGCAAGCAAAAAAGCAGTATGTCAGCATGATATCCTGGAGAGTGGTGTACTGCACTTTGCAAAGGGCTACTTCTACATGAAATTAAAAGAAAACATGTCATCACATATTTTTGTCATATCTGCAAAGGTATCAGCTTCAGTAAACCAAGGTTTAGAATTGGGCTGTCTAGGGTTTTGAAATTCCACAAGATTTTTTTGCAAATTCTCAATTTTGCTTTATTTTTACACAGAAAAATCCTATATGATCTGTAATAATCTTTTCCTATAGATTCTTTTTTCTGTGTCCAGGCACTCTGTTTTTCAACTGCCCAAATGTGTATAATGAAGTGAACAAAAATCAGCATCCTCTGTATTAGGAAGTACAAATGTAAATAGCATTTACATGGTATCAGAATTTTCAGTATCAGTGTTTAACTGTAGTAATTAATTCTTAAAGTGATGCCAACAAATCTTTCAGGGAAGGGGAGCACATAGTGTGTGAATTACAAAGTACAATTGCACAGACACAGAACTGCTGGTATTACAGGACAAAATGTGGGCTCAGGTTCACCAGAGCACTCGAGATGTGTTTGCCTCCACCTGGGGAGTTTGCTGAGGAGACTCCTCGTGCTCCCAAAGTTTGGCACACATTTTTGAGCTCTTCTGAAATCAGGCCTTGGCCAGAGCAGATACTCCTGTAGCTTTGTGTGAAATATGCACTTTGTGGGACAATCTGCCTTTTCCTGGATTTATGCAATTTATCTCGTATTTAGAAGACCAGACAAATTTACGGAATTTTTTTATTATGGTTTTTTGCATTGCAGAAGGGAAGGTGAGAAAGAGACAAGTTCAGCTGTACATTTCACCATGTGAAAGCATTGTTTAAGTTTGTAAAAGGTGTGTATTTGATATCAAGCTCAAAGAAATCTACTTGAGCTCACTGAATAAAAAAATACATGTTAAGCAGGTCACATTAAATAAATTTCTCTTGTTCCATCTGTATTTCCTGTACACTCAACACTCCTCCAGGCAACTGGAGGCATAGGAGCTCTGAGTATGCGAGGAAATAAATGAGTTTACCTAAAAACTTTGGAATACTATGTTTTTAAGCCACATATGATGTTGCCTATGTGTAATTTTTAGTGTTAGAAGAAAATAGACAGTAGCTTTATTAACCAGGTGCAATACTTACAAAGGGCTAAATTAGGGAAACAAGTGATGTGTGTTTGTGCATCACTGCAAGCATGCACTCTCTGAAAATGAACTTTTAGAGCACTGGGATCTTAATACCTCTCTGAAATTATAATGTTGGTATAATTTTATAACTGCTTATTATACATTATAATGTATAGGATTTGGGAATTCCTAAGAACCAAAAGGAGGAGGGAGAAATTGTAAATCACATAGTGATTTAGTAAATCACATAGTGGTATGTTATTTTCTATGACAAAAGTAAACTAAAACACCTTTACAAAGCCACACAAATTCTGAATAATGGAAAGAAAAAAAATCTACTTCCCTTGGTTACAGAGACAGTTTAGTCTGAAATTCCCCTTGATTTGTCTCTTGTATTTCCTCAAAGTTTTGGGGGGTTTTTGTATTCTGATGGTGAAAACATTCCTAAATTTACCAGTATTTGGCTTGAATGGTATCATTTTGAAAAAAACTTTTAAAATTGAGTTCTTCATGATACTGTACAGTCCGAATGAGATCATGCAACATGATCTGCTCCAGCTTAAGTAGAGAGTTCATACAAGCAGAAGATTACAGGAAAAGATTACATTGAGCATTCATTGTTCAGTCATGAGAAAGATCTGAACAATCAAACTAAAAGCTCCACTCATATATTTCTTCTCTCCATCTTCACTGCAGGGTTGATGGAAAACAGGCTGCCATGTACAGTGTATCTGGCTATCTCACCCCTGTTTGGGGATTTTTTTGCTGATAAATAATGAAATACAGATCATCTTCCCATCTCTCTTACTGTTTTTGTCTTGTGCTTTGAGTCCAGAATTAACTGAAAGACAGAAATAATCAGGTCTGTTGAACAGAGACTGTTTGGTTCTTTCCCTGTTTGACAGACTTGTAACAAAGGGCCAAAGTACAAATGCAGAGACAGTAGGCAAAGGGGCTTGAGCCAGTCAGACAGGACCTGAAAAAATTGCTCAGAATTGGATCCCAGTAGGAGGAAACTAGTCTTAAGCAGTCAATTACACAAGTTCTGTGGTTGATTTTTGGTGGTTTGGGGTCTTTTTTCTGCATTACAAGTCTGGTAAAAAGTCTTATTACACAATTAAGAGAGAATGCAGATCCCAGTGTAACAAGCTGAGCCCTCACAGCAGTACAGGTTTTCTCAGGAGAGTTCAGCTATCCCCATGAAAAACTTCATTGACCAGGGCTGTTCACACAGGTAATGCTTGTAGTACAAAGGCATGTGGGTTTTCATCTGTGTACTTTCCACTGGGATTGGGAGTGTGAAATTGTGATTCTCCCTTTCTGAGGGCATGAGAATTGTGTATTCAGCTTTGTGAGAGGGATGGATACAGTGGGTATCTCTGCACATGTGTAATACCAAAGTGGCAGCACTCTGGGTGTGTTACCTGGTGCCAGATTGCAGAGCTGTTAGGCTGGTGGTATTCAGCCTGTAATCTGTCCTGCTGACACCAGCCCCAGGGAGAAGGGGTTTCTCAGTATGGGATCCAGGATAGCCAGCCCCTTGGGAAATGAGTCACCAGCCCCACATCCCTGTGCTGTTGGCTCCAGTGCTGCCTTTGCTGTGTCCAGCCTGGGGGAGGTTGGTTATCCACGAATATTCATGACGCGTTCATAGTACAGAACACTCTTTTGAAGAGAAAGAATCTCTTTTTCAGCAATTAAAATCAAACTGTGGAATAGCTTTTATGTTACAGAAAGTTGCTGAATGAGTGCCAGCATTGTCAGACTTTGAATCGGGCATGGTTGTGTCCCTTGTGTGCCTCTTTCCAAAGCCATGCTGCTGCAGCTTCCGTGGGGGCTCTCACAGAGCCCTGTACCTTAACCAAGTTTTGCCCAAACATTTGCTGGAACCCAGCACTGAGCCCTAAACCAAGTTGGACCCCCAGTAAAGGAGGCTCTTTCCAGCTCTTTCCCAACTCTTTCCCAACTCTTACACTACCTAAGTTAGTATTTCATTAGTAGACCTTTGTAAAGGGAACATTGCCCCTTGGCATTTCTAACACAGCACCATCCACTGCTGCATTTGCAAAGAGCCAGACATCATCTTGGTCAGTCATGGAATTTGGGGATATTGTTTTAGATTGAGACCTCTGCATCCTGCGTCAGGTTGTAGTTCCACAGCAGGTTAAGGTGTCATAAGCTTGTGCTGCTGTTGAAAAAGCTCTTCCTACCCTCAGCAGAGACATTTCTAGAGAGAAGTTTCCTGAGTTATGCTGGCTTGAGCCAGTCCTGTAAGTGTAGGTCTGTGTGAAATGCTAGATAGCTCATGGCCTGCTGGCTCTGTGCCCTGCTCTGTCATGGGGCAGGCATGGTAGTGCTGCCTTTATCCCACTATGTCTTGTCTGGACTCTCATTAAAGACCTGAACTTGCACAATACCCCTGCAGCATTAAACTCAGGAGAGCTCCACCTATGGCTGGTGGCATTGATTTTGGTATGAAATTAAATATATGGGGGAAAAGAGAGGAATTAGATCAATAACTGTATGTCCAGTGCTGCATCTTAAGTCTGCATCTTAACTGCACCATGATTTTGCTAAGCAGATATTGGAGGAGTTAAGGGATATGAAAAACAACATTACTGGATCCTGTTCCTCCCTGGAACCAGTCTGGAATGATTCACAGTAATCTCAGGCAAGGGGCTGGGAAGTCATGACCTCTGTGAATCTCTGGGCTACAGAGAACCAGGGTGTGCTTCTCACCCAGACATGGTAACAACTAGGAATGATCCTCAGCTGCTTTGCTAGTGCAGTTTCAGCCTCTTTTTATTACAGCTTCAGTTTAATAGTGATGGGAATGCTGGGCAAGAGGTAAAGGGCATCAGGGAACTGGAGAAAGGACCATCAGCCCCCGTTGCACTGTGGGGTTTTTAACTCTCTAAAACAGCAAGCATGTTTTCTTGTCACTTGCTATTTGTGTTGTCTCATGTAAGAAAAGTGTTTCCATCATAGAAGGGGGGAAATTCAGCACAGGGTAAGTAGCTGTAGGAAACTAAAACCCCAACTGCCTAGTTTTTATGAGTAAGGGATTTCTAAAACATTCTGCTTGCAGAAGACTGCAGTATTTATATCCACATATCCTTTTTTCTTGCTTCAGTGACAAAAGTGAAATACCTGCCTGCATACATTGTTCTTCCTTTGTTTCCTATCAAATCTTGTTTCAGAGAGAATAAAGTAAGTTCCAGTTCTTTTTTAAAACCATTTTTTCTGAATTATTATTTTTAGAAGCTGAGCATTTCCTCTTTCGATTCAGTGTAAAATTACGGAGCTTTAATTTGCTCTGCATTGCACTTTATATAATTTTTTCACTTTTTGGGCCATGTATTTTTGATACACAGAACAGTAAACATTTTATTAATCTAGTTTTAACTTGAAATTAACCATGAAACGAAGATGTTTTTATAAAAATGCAAATTCCCTAAAATACAGTAAATAATTTGTTTGGGTCAGAGACATTTTTTAATGATACATTGAGAAATATGATAGCTTCTGAAATTATTTATCATTTGGTAAACTCAATACATTCATGGATATTATGGTTTAAAGTGGAATGTGAATGAGAAGAACACAAAGTTCTAGATGGTAGATTTCCTTATATGCAAAACCTGCATTAGTTTAATTGATAAAGGTTTAAACAAATAGCCTAATCTAGTTTAAAGAAGTGTGCAACTGTTTAATAGGCAAGTTTAAAATGCCAGGAGCTCATAGAAATTTGGAAATGAGTTTAAGTTGAGCAGCCAGGAGCTGTTTTTCCCCGTGCTGTGCAGTGGGCAGCCTGTGAAGCCCCTGGGCCCTGCAGGCAGTGAACTCCTCCTGGTACAAGGCAGCAGCAGAAGCCATAGGAGAGTTTGGATTTTCCTCTTTAAACAGCCACTCTCCCAACTTGCAGGGCCACTGCCAGGTTGGCAGTAGTATTTCCATTTGGTTTTTCCTGACTCCATCCCCACTAGTTTTGGGAACTAGTGTCCTAAAGACAATCCTTTTGTTCCTAAGTGAATTAATGAACTCATCTTCCCTCTGGTTTTGGTGTTAAGCTTGCAGCACTCACACTATTGCACATAGTTTGTCTTAATTTGTAAATGCCAGTTTCAGCATTTTAAACAAAGAACAGCTACTCTGCCCCAGCACAGAATCCTTTTAAATCTTATGGAGCATGCTGAAAAATAAAGACCTTTTTGACTTTTACTTTGTCCAAACTCTTTATTCCAAATCACACGAAGAAAAGTGGGGAAAACAAGGCACATGGCAGTGAAGAGGGGAGAGAGAGCCAGCAATGCTCATTTCCTTCTCAGGGTGAATCATTGCTGGGCTCCCTCTCCCAGGCTGAGTGTGTGTGTGCACGGACCACGCACAGCTTGGAAGTCATGTAAAATCCATCCTTGAAAAAGCTCTTAGTTGGCCACCTCCCAGAGATTCCAGCTCCTTTTCAGAGGCTTCCAGACATTCTGCTCATTTCTACATCCATAGGTAAAAGCAAAAGCTGACTGCTGCTCCAATAGCCTGGGTATAGATTCCCGTTGGACTGCAAATGTATCACCTTGCCATTTTTAATCAAGCTGCAGTTCTTCCTGCAAAGGATGGGCATGATCCAGGTGTCTGTGCGTGCTGCAAAGCTGTTGTGTCCTTCCAGGGAGCTCTGGGAGTCCCTGGAGCGAGGTGAGCACACGGCCAGTGCTGTGCAAGTCTTGTGCTTAACACCAGTGGTACCTGTGCTGAAGAGAAGTGTGGGCTGATGCCACCTGCCCATCCCACCCCAGAAATGAGGGCTGCACAGTGTGGGTCAGCTCTTGGAACTATGGGGCAAAGCAAGCTTAAAACTTTTATAGTGAGCACGGGGTGTCTGAAAACTCAGTCCGTGCTTGGCTGAGGAACAAGAGCAGTGACAGGCCCAGTCCAAGGTGGTTCTGTCAGGCAGCACAGATAACAGCTCTGTGGCCCAGCTGGGTGCTGTATTTCCATGTATGTTTGAAAGAAGCTTTTGAAAAGAAGACTTGCAGATGCTATTCCTTCACAGTCCGGTTGGATTCTGTGCTCTGGGGCAGCCTATGGGCTGGCACAGCACGTTTAGATAAGGGGCTTCCACTAACAGTGACTTAGACATTGCAAAAAACTGTTTCTTGTAAGAAACAGGTGCTTTTCTCATTCTTACAACATTAAAAACACACAACAAGATGCCACCATACAGACCTTTGTCAAATTCTCCCAGTCTCCTGCAGCAACAGCAGCTGGGGAGAGCTCAAGAATTCTGAGGACCTTGGCCATAACTCATCAAAAGGCCTCTGCAGTCCATTGCCACTGAAAATGATTTAGTGCTGGATCAAAGCTACCCAGACTTGGGCCCTGCAAAACTCCTCTGAGAATTCTGCTGTTATTTCATAAGAAAAAAAGTGTTAAAATCTTTGTGTCAGCAAATGAGTTAAAAATCTGCCTGCTGAACCAAGAATACTTCCAGTGGACTTCAGATATCTTGGGAATCATTCTCAGTACAAGTCAGGACTCTCCAAACATTTCAGGTTTTTTTCTTAAATTAGAAACATTTGCAAAATTAGCAATATGCATATTAATGCCTAAAAGTTGATAAAAATAATTGAGTCAAGGTACTGAGAAGTATTTGCTTGCACCTGAAACTTTAAAGAATGAATTTGTGATGTGCTAAGCATGAGCCCCTGAGTTTCACCAACACAGTAAACCACCTTTGTACAGAGTAATTCTGTAAAAATTTAGAAGGTTTGTTTTTTTCTCAAGTTACTCAAGTAGTTCAAGTAATGAATAATTTGTTTCTGATCAATGCATTTTAGAATGAGCAAATCTTATCCTCTTGCACTTCTAATCGCTGTTTGTATGGAAAAAAAACCTTTACTACTTTTCCATTTCCCAGTGAATGATCAGTTCACTAAGCAACAGGCAATGTTTCTTGACTTTAGATGGCAAAATATGCTTAGATAATTTTACTCTCCTCCATGTGAATCTGGTTATATGAGATCCTTACCTTTTTCTAGCTTCAAAAATGCTTTTGTGCAAGTTCCATAGATACGGTTCAATAAAAATTGCAAGGAAGAATCTAAGTCAAATGCTAAGTAAAAATCAAGGTCATGAAACAAACATGAAGATAAAGTCTCATGAGAAAAGTCAATCCATTGCTGAATTAAATATTGATAGAACACACTGATTAGCAGAGAGTACTGATCTTTGTTAAAATTACATTTAGAAGCAGACCACTGTGTTTTAGTGTCACAAGTGACAAAGGGGTTTTTCTTCAGAAAAAGTGCAAATGGAAAAAAAAACCCCATTCAAATAGACCATTTAGACCAAGATTTTCTCAATTTAAGCCCATCCTGCCTGTTACATTACTGTTCTATGTTCAGGAATGCTCAGGACAACAGACATTCCTCACAGGAAGCAGCTAGGTTCCAAAGTGTCAACTAAATGAAAAGAAAGTCAGCAAACTCATAGGATTTTCTTAGTACTAGCTCAGCTATTGCACAAAAAGGGCCAAAAACAAAACAACAAAAAAGCACTACTCACTACTGAACTAGAATTTAAGCAGCTTAAAAGAGCCATGTTTTCATCTAGTTCACACACCATAGCTAAACCCAGGTTTCTGTTGGTTTGTTTGTTTGTCTTTTGGGGTTTTTGCTTCTTAACAGCCTTCAGAGCAGGGTCTGTCGTTGCTGAGATGACCACAGTTGAATAGGAATCTCTTGAAATCCTAAAACACGCGATTAGAGAAACAACAGGCTTCAAATGAAAAATGACTGAAAAATTATCTCAAAAAAGCAAAAAGAAAAGTTAATTCTCTGTTTGGGAAATGCCATTCAGCTACCATTACTCCCAGGCTGTGTGTCTAACTGACATCCTGTAGCTTTGTCAGCTCACATTTTTGTTAAAAGCAGATGTGATTAAACTACATAGCAAAGGACCTTCCTTTGGTCTTTGTAAATGAATGTATACATACAAACTATGCATTTTCACACAGCTGCTTACTGTATCTTGAATCACTCCAACCTTTCCCCTAGCTTAGAAACCCCCAAACTTAAGGAGCAGAAGGTGTGTCCCACCTCCTTTGACAGATATTTGTCTCCTGCCTTGTTTCTGCTCTCCAAAATCCTTAGATGCAGGACAGAGCAATGCTGAGCTGGAGAGCCCAAGGAGCAGAGGGGCCCGTGGCCAAGTCAAGGCCCAGTTTGGGCAGCCAGGCGCAGCGTGGCCAGGCAGAGGTGTGGTGTGAGTGAGTGCTCCCCTGGCAGAGCTGCTCCAGCCCCAGCGCCTCTGGCACCCTGGCTCAGCATCCCGGGCGCTGGGGCGGCCGAGCGGGGCCGGCACCGGGCTCAGGAGGAGCTTGCAGCCACTCAGAGAGCTGTGCCAAGGAGAGGCCGCTGCCCCTGGGCTTGCAGTGCCATCCTGCCCTTGGGACAGCCTTTCCAGCCATCCCTGCAGCCCAGGCTCCTTCTGACCATCCCTTCCCCACCGTGCGAGGCAGGGATGGCTCCACAGGGGTTGTGGTCTCCCTGCTGGCACCTGCCCCAAGTGATGCAGTGCCCAAAGTGCTCAGCCCTTCATCCTCATCACTGGGGACTTCAGGGCTGGGGTGTGCTAGGGACAAAGGATCAGAGCTTGGGTTTAGTGCACCTTCTGTTGGAAGGGACCAGGGAAGATGGAAAATGGATGTCTTGTTCTTGTAGCCGATGTAATTAAATGTGGGGAAAAGATACTGCATGCAACATTTCTTACTTCAGTTTTGGGTTGTCGCTGTAATGTACATCAGCCCAGTCTACTCAATGAAGCGTGTTTCATATGCTTTATCCTACAGGAAGAAAGACCAAAAAAGTAGAAGTAATAAGAATATCCTTGCTTTAGACTAAAGCAAGCATGGACTCAACAACAAAGAAAGATTTTGTTTATATGCAAACTGTTTAAATATTTGATACCAGTATGAAGGTAGTCATATTCTTATGTATCCAGAGATTTGCACTCATCTAGGTTATGTTAATTAAAAATATTTTTGCGGTATGTATTTGTATTTGAGGGGCCAAGCCTTTAATTTTATATTCTTTACAAGAATTAGCGTGGCGATTACGTTTTTCCATTTCTTGAGCTACCTGCCCACCCATGCTAGTTGTTCATTTGCAGAAAGAATATTTTCACTACTTCAGAGGTTTTTGGGTGATTGTTTTCAAAGGGAACCTGCCCCAGAGAGTTCCACAGGATTGTCCAGTGTGAGTGGAGGCTCTCTGGAGCAGCAGGTCACCCTTCCCAGGACGTGGCCTGTCACTGCAACAGACACACGTGGATTCATTTCCCTGCAATCTGCAACTGCCCTGTGGGCCTGGGGTAGCTCCAGCTGCAGTCCCTCAAATCAAAGCTCTGACTGACCCTGTCAGTCCTTTGCTGTCACTTGCTATCACAAAGTTAACTTTTTACAACGAGGAAGAGCTTCCAACTCTGGCACTGATGGAAATACTGAATACTTTTAATATATATATATATATATATTTGGAAAGTATTTGAACAGTGTTTTGTCTTTTTTTATACAACTTTTAGCCAAATAGAAAAATTCTGATTATTACTTCTGTGGATACCTGTCCACCTGTAAATAAACTCATATATTCAGGTACATGAACCTGAAGAAAAAAATAATAAAGACTGTTAGGGGCTATGCGCTTTGCTAGCTCCTGGTTTCTTTGTACATAAGAGGTAACTGTTTAAATGTTGGGTGGGGTTTTTTTTTAATTTACCTGTTGTTCCTCTAAAGAAAGAAGAAGAAAAAAAACTTTTGACTTAGTTTTCTCTTTTCTGAGTTAATACAAAGATTTTCTAACTTTTTACTGCAGAAATGGATAAATACCTGGTGCTAAGTGAATGTGAGTCAAACTGGCCATAGCAGACACACCAGTTAGAATGCACTTTTCCTGTGGCACACAATGTATTTTCTCAGAAGGGACCTTCAAAGGACTGTCAGATGTTTACATTTCTTCTTGTTGCCCCAAATAGTTTTGAATATTCAAATAACTTCCCAAAATAAAGTCATGGTCCATTACTGATGCGACAAATCCTTACATTTAAGTATCTACAACAGCTTTGTACAAATACCATTTTAGAGATAGTTGAAATATTGGGCTTTCATACTTTGTAATGCTTTGATGTGACAATAAATATGCTGTTGCTATCTAGTCTAACCTCATTGTAGACCTGTAACTCCCTGTTTCTGGTTATGTCATGAATTGCACTGGCTTGAATTCAGCCAAATACTGACTGTTCAGCTGAAATATTCCGACTGTTATGATGTCCACAAAACATTAATTAAATGCACTTGTATCTGACTACCATGGAGTATGTCAAATTATTCATGTAATAAATCCCTTGTGTATAACTTCTGTTAGTTGTTTATGTGAACCTCAGTTCCTTCCCAGCCATGAAGGCTTGTGCCTCAACCAAGGACCAGCTGGAGATAACCTGTGCATTGACTTAGTTAGGAGCAGGGCTGATTCCCTTCCCTTGCATCAGAGAGCTGATGTTTACACATTGTGAGCAAAGACACACAGGACAGGGATGTTGAATTCTGAGTTTTGCCCCTGTCAATTTGAAGTTCAGCCTTTAGCTGGTGACTGTATTTTCCCACTTCCAGGCTCACGCTGCTCCTCCTGATGCATTCTGCAAGCAACACTTCCCCTGTCCTGCTCCTGCCTGGCAGCCTCCCTGTGCACAGCAGGGAGCAATCCTGGCAGCAAAGGAGGTACAGAAATTAAAAGCAGGTCTCCTCCCACCCACATATGCCTTTTCTTTGCAGGTTTTCCTGGAAGTTTTGTGCAGGGAGGGAAGGGAAGGGAAGAGGTAAAATATGACTTGGCTGAGGCTGTCGGATGCTGAATCAGCCGTGATTGCCTCATGTTTTCCATTCTTTTAAAATAAGGGGTACAGTTTTCAAAAATGCCCATCTGACTTCTCTACAGGCCCTGCCCAGCCCATCACTTCTCAGTAAGTCAGTTTTAAAAAATGGTGTATGTGCCTCTAAATCACATGGGACTCTGGATAACATCTCTTACAATGCCTTTCTCCCAGGTCTGGAAATATGATGCTCTGGAATTGCAAGGACCTGATGCAGCTGCTGCAGCTTACCACAGTGCTCGTTATCAGCCACACAGTTTTACCCTCCCAGACGTGTTCTTTGCAAAATACAGATCAGGCAGCAAAGGATCGTTTGGCCAGGATGTGCCTTCGCCATAGGAAAGCTGATGAAGCTATTGCTTGAAGCTTGCGAGCTGGAGAGGCATCCCTGAAAAAAGGAGTAGTTTCTTGCGAAAAACAAAAGTATAAACTAATACCATTTCTGTCCAAATTCTTGACTCCCAGCTTTGTTAGGTCATATTTAGGTTTTCCTTTGGCTAATGCGTTCCTACCTCCTACTGCAATGCCAAGTCCAATGTAAATATCAAGGCTGTTAAACTTAAGGAGTGCTTTAATCACTTTCCTTGTGCTCCCATTTTCCTCCCTTCGAGCAGCATCTCCCCACCGCACCCGTGCGCGCTCGGCCACCTCTCGAGCAGAGGAAATCCGTGAACAAACCTGTTCTCCGGGCCAGAGGCGGAGCAGCTCTGGCCAGAAGGCTCCGCCCTGCTCCCAGCAAGAGGTCCCGGTGCCGGTGCCCGCAGCCGAGCGTGTCCGTCCGTCCGTCCGTGCGCAGCCAGGGATGAGCAGCCCCAGGCACGGCTGGAGCGCTCCCTGCAGCTGCTGCTGCTGGAACAGCCGCTGTCTCCACAGCCCCTCCTGCCCCGCCGGTACTCAGAGCTGCCTCACTTGGACCATTAGCGTGGGAATCCTATGGCTGACTCCTGTAGGTATAAAAAGAAAGGGATTTGAAGTTGTATAATTACCAAAGAAGCATTTAAGTGATGTTTCAGAGTAAATTCCACTAATTAAATGCCACTTTAAGAGATAATAATCTCTGCTGCAATTGATGTTTCTGAAGACAGATGGGCTGTCTTCAGAATTAGAGTTCTTAGCATGTTTCTACATTAAAGGGATTCCATTTTAGACCAAAATTCAATACTTGTGCTTCCCTCCCTCCACTCCTGCACAGGCTTTGTCTCTTTTTGATCCAGTTCTGCACTGAGACATGACTAGCTTAGGTGCATTTGGTTCAGAAATACTTCACAACCTTATGAACTTCCCAGAGAAAATTTTGAGACTGAATGATTCCGTCTCTACCTGACCCTGCATCAGTAACTTTATGTAACCTAATTCCTTGTAGTAAAATAATTCACTAGATTCAAATTTAGACTTCAAATAATCTTAGCTGCAAGAAAACAATTTCTGTTTCAATGAGCTGTGTGTTTTGTACTGTGCATGCTGCCATCGTCCCGCTTTATTCTACTGCATTTGAGACCTGTTCTCTAAATGTGGCCTCACAGAATCATTGTGTTATAATGTTACTTCTGATGTGAGGTCCTCATGGAAATCTGCTGCACCAGAAGAAACTTTTTAGCAATGCAAATGTCACTTAGAGAACAATAATATTATTTTGGTGCCCTTAAGCGAACATATTATTTTCCAGTTTATTTGCCTAAACTGCCAACTTTTTTCTCCCTCTCCCACACACTCATCTCTATGATGCCAAGAAAAATATTTATGTTATAAAAATTGTTTGAAGACTAAGCTACACTTCTCTTTCTGGCTTACAAAATAAAAGCAAAAATTATGTTAAGATTCATGTTCTAAAATTAACTTTGGAGAGGAAAAAGAATTTGCACCTTCCTGAATTATATTTTGCCTGTTTATCCCCAGAAGATACCACTGTCAACAGACATAGCTCTTCTCTTTTTTTCTTTTTTTTTTCTCCATAATTTCTGGGGAAGGAGAAGAGTTTTCAAACACATTTATTTCAATGCAAGGCAAATGTCAAGCAAATTTCTCATTACTCTATCACAGTTTTGCCTTGTGATACCTATTGTAAAATCTTGCTCTGAGACAAGACTTCATTGGTGTTTTTTCAAGTTGTAAAAAGCCAAAAGTTACAGGTGGTGAGAAAGGGAGGAGCCACTACCAAGGACTGGATTAAAACACCAAGGTTGTTTTTAACCAAGCAAGGGCCACAGCTCCAGGTGTCTTGTCTGACTCTGACAATCACTAATCCACCAAACATTCATTTCAGTATTTTTCAGTAATATGTGAACATTCCCCTTGGCTATTGGCTAAAAGCAAACTTACCCATCCTTCCCAGGTTTTCAAACTGTTAGCTTTGCAGGCTTTTTAGCTTTCCTTCTAAATACCATAAGCAGTATAGTATATATCTCTATAAAAGTATACATAGATACATAGTTTATATATCTATAAAAGTATATCTATCTATATCTTAGTATATACATCTATAAAAAATACATGTGATAATATGTGTGTGTATATATATTTCAGAGAAATGCTTTTCACAAAATTAGTTTTCATAGTGACAACATCCAGAAAAAGGGGGGGAAAACTATTAACTGGCCGTTTTTAGAAAAGATGAGAGTAAAAATATGAGCAGCCTAAAGCTGTATTACATACAACTGATACCAAAAGCAACACCACGTTTGTTGAAGCAGGTGGGAACTGCACGGTCTCGACATCGAGACACATTTTTTCCACGCATTCAGTGGAAGTAAAAACTTGTCCCGTGCTGACCTCCTGTGGTACGTAAGGAATCTGCAGTCGCCAAAAATAGTAGCCAGAAGTCAAGAGCACGGCGAGGTCGGAGAAAGAGCGATAGGCTGGTCCTCCACTGCCAGGCTGGGAACGCAGGGAACACCAGGAGCACATCCCAGAGGACACACATCCCACACCCCTTTAAACTTTGGTGTTTAACTCTCATGCACACAAAATCCTGCATCTTACCCAATACTTAAACATGGTGAATGAATCAGGAAAAAACAGAGAAGGGTTGAGAAGGGTTGTTCTAAATTCCTTGCAAAGAGATATGAGCAGCTTTAGCTTGGAATCTTGTCCTTCATCCTTGCAGGTCAGAGGTGTGTTTGTGTCATCACCACCACTGAGTTATCTCACAGTGTACAAGGCATGGAGCATCCCTCTCTCGCTGCTTGTGGTTAAGACCATTTGACTAACTAATCTGTGGAAGGCCAAGCCTTTTGTCTCACTTCTGACACCTTTGCTGCTGTTCCATTCCCCACCAGCACGGTGCACACCACAGCTGTCCAGGGAAGGTGACACACATGCTCTCAGCTCAATATTCACTCCTCTTGGAGTGGGCTTGCTCACATCATTCAAATCACTCATTCCATTTAGGCTCCAGAGGATCAGAAAATGAGTCAGTAAGGGGGAACCCAAATATATTTAACACCATCCCTCAGTGGTGAGCCCATTTAAGGTCACAGGAAGCAGACACTGCTCGCTCTGCCAGGAGTGAACTGTCAGAGCCTGAGGGCTGGAACAAGACCAGGATTATCATATTCTTACCCCACCCTGCAGTCCAGTTGCACTAGGTACCCTTTCATTTTGGTACACCTGTACCTGTGCCACTAGGCCTGCTTCCCTGTCCCTGGGTACACCTCACCTCCTCTCCAGATAACACAGGGCATTGCCTACCCTCACACACACAAGGCTCTGACCAACAGTGCCCACACCAGTGTTCAGTGAAAAGGGAGCTCTGAGTCCTGCCTCAGAAGAGAGAACAAATTTATTCCTTGCTCTTTAGTCACTGGCAGAAGCAGCACTGTGTGTAAAGCAGCCTTCCCTGTGCACCCTCTGAAACCAGAGCACACCGAGGATGCCTTCATCCTACCCCACAGCTGGAACTGCTGCTCAAACACAAACACAAAATCCTAGCTGCAGATCCTGTGCTTTCAAGTCCCACCCCCACACAGTGAGCAAGCCACTGCAGAAATCACTGCCAGAAATGCTTTTAAGTCTTTTTCAGGCCATCAACACACCTTCTAGCCATGGAAGAGGACAAACTGGCACTTTATGTTTGCTTCTCGTTACTTCTCCCCTCTTCTCTGCCCTGGTGTCTATCAGCATCACTGCCTTGCTCCGTCGTGCCTGCAGTGTGAAGTCAGTCAAGTGGTGACTCACAGAACCAAGTTTAGCCTCAGTTTTTAGCCAGGGCTGACCAGGCTTTCTGCAGTGCTGTAGGGCAGAGATTTCTGTTTGGAGACTTAAATGACATCCTCTTCAGAAAAGGGCTGGTTCCTTCCTTCTGGTCACAGACCTCTTGACCTATGAAACTAAACAGGATACAGAAAAAGGGAAGGAAGGAGGAAGGAAAATGTTTTTTACTTCTGCAGCTTTGGTAAAAAACAAAAATTCTCAAAAATATTTGTGAAATCCCACTCTCAGGCTGCTTCTTTCTCGAGTTCTCTTTTCTTTAAATATTTGTGTTTTCCCCCAGAATGGCGGTGAGGGGTTTTGGCATTTCAGGCTGAACTTTGACCATTTGGCTCGCTACATGCGCTCATTTTCTGCACTCCTCCCCCTGCCAGCTTTGTTGCTTCCCAAAGGCAGCAGCAAAATGAGAAGTACAATCCCTCACTGAAGATGTTTCGTATTTAGAACCGGCACTTTATGATGAGGACACATCCTGCACTGCACTGCTACCAGACATGTGGAGAGAGGCAGAGGGGGTATGGTGTCAGGGCAGGGGAACTAGAGAACTATCAGAGGAAAGCAAGATGAAAGTGGAAGGGAAATGAAGTAAGTGGGTGATAAAATAATTCTGTTATATAGGAGCAAGCCAGAAGGATCAAAGGATCTCTTATATTTGCATTTTATCCTCATTTCTGTTCCTTGCCATATCCTTCCTCTGCTGTATATTATTATCACCTCTATTATAAAACTTTCTGGTTGCTTGCAATTATCCCCCCTTTAATCTCATGCTAGGCTCTTCCTCTTTGATCCATGCCTTCTTGCCATATGAGTGATTGTGTGACTGCTGCATATATATGTAAAAACCTACATTCATTTCAACTTCATTTCCCCATGGTGTCTCCAGTTAAGCTGTGTGTCCTTGCACAATCCTTTCTGCTTACCTCAGTTAGGCTTGATTCAGCTCCTGATGCCTAAAGAGGCTGCCTAGAACAGAGCCTAGACAGAGTTCAAGGAATAAAGTAGGTATTTATTAAAGGAATAAAATAGGCATTTATTGAAAGGCCTTCAAAGGATACACCTTGGGCAGTACAAGAGCCTGGCCAAGATGGACTCTGAGACATGAGTTTTCACACTTTTATAAGTTTTGGTCCATTTAGATATTGGGGTTAATTGTCTAATTGCAGCTTCAGGTTATGAAGTCCTATCTTCCTAGATTGCTTTCCTCAATTCACTGTTGTTTATACTTTTATACCTCCAGTGCAATGGTGTCCTTGATTCTCAGGCTGGAAAAGGATTGCTTTGTCTGACTGACCTGTGAAGAGAGCTTGCTAACCAATGAAAAAAACCAATGAACTTTATATGAAGTTCAGAGTTACATATTAATGCAGTACAGAATCTGAAAATCATGACAGCTAAAACTTAAGACATCACTCCCAGTAAAAATGGGGCAAATGGAAAGCTCCTTCTAATGTCTCATTTTATTTTTGCACAAGTTACAGTTACAATTTTATACAATAAAACAACTCAACCTACAGAGAGGAACACCTAAGCACGCTCTTCATGGCAAGGCTAAGCAGAGGAAATTAAGAAACAAACCTGTGACTGGCAGCCTCTTGATCCTTTCTCTTTATTTTTAACTTCTGAAAAAAACCCACCTTTTTTTTCTGTTCATCCCCTTCCCTCCCTTCTACCAGCCTGTTCTGGGACCCCTCCATCCCCTGTCCCTGCAGATTGGGCTTGCTGGCAGGGCTGAAGCATTCCCGGAGCCGAGGGAGTTGAGCAGAATGTTGGAAATGTCAGGATGGAGCAGAGTCAGCTGGAAAGTCAACAGGGAAGATGTTCCTTCTCCCAGGGACCAGCCAGGGCTGCCTCCTCTGGCAGAAGCAGGAGGCAAAGCAGAGCTGCCCAGCCTGGCCCCATCCCTCTGCAGCTCCCACACACTGGAGCAGCCGCTCTCTCACAGGGCTGACACCAGGCAAGAGCACCTGAAGCCCTGTGCACATTTTCTCCCCTTCTCCCTGGTTTTAAGCAACATTATTTTAGCTGTGGTAAATTTTTTTGAGTGTATGAAACACATTGGCCCTGGATGGCAAGGAAATCTTGTCTTCATTCTCCTTCTCTAAAGGAAACATGAAAGGAATGGCCTGGATAGTCTGAAGTAGTCAACAGCATGTATGTATTCCATACTTATGAATGTGATAGGGAGTGTCAAAAAATACCAAACTCCACAAAATCTTTAAGAAGCTTGTAGCATGAATATTGTTAATTAAACCTTTTGATTTTAAAAGAAACATAGAACATGATGGAAAAGTTGTTCTTTCCCTTGATCACTTAATTCCTGACAAGCACCTAAAAATAAGCACCCCAAGAGCTCAGGGAAAAAAAGAGCCACTGAAAGGAGCCACAGAAAGGAACAAGGACAGCACTTAAACTGTAATTTTCATCCTGACCTACATTAATCTTCCATGAAGCAACACATCATCTAGAAAAATCCAGCTTATATTCTCTGTGGCTTCGTGTCCTCCAGAGTACCAGCCCCGTGGTGTCCCCACTATCCCCTTCCTTGGGAAGAAGAGAGTTATTTGAGATTCTAGAAAGCAACAAGTGATTTCATTTTGTTTTCCTTCATGTGAGTTTTGTGTTAATAAGCACTCAACAAAGCATCTGCAGAGATGAGAGAGACAAAATGCATTTAAGTTTTTTAGCTTTAAGCTTTTGCACATGCAGCACTGCCTCTCTGGAATTAAATGAGACCGTGGTTGTTTCTTATACTGCTCTGTATTCAAATAAATCCATTAGTAAGATGGGTTTATTTGAATACAGAGCAGTATAAGATGCAGCACCTCACTGTTTTGTATTCTTAGATCACAACACGACCTTGAACACGTTTCCACTGCCATCCTTACAAGTTACGCTGCAGACACACAAATTATTTGCATGTTATTGCATTAGAAAAGAGACCTCAGGATGTTGCTACCTCACATTCTTCACCTGCACTAATCTCCTCAACACAGCATCACATCTCATGCAATGCAGCTCAGCATCCTCTCTCTTTTAAAATCTTTAACAGCAAGTTAATTGATGCCCCCTGTGTTCCCTGCTGATCAATTACAATTAATCACAAAAGCCCCACTGTCCAGCCCCAGTGATTAATTATACTTCCTTCTCAGAAATATACTTCATATATTGCTGAAGATTCTAAGATTGAGAGCAAGAAACTGGATCTTGCTCTGAAGAACTGAAAAGCCCTGCACTAAAACAACTTTTGCAGCTGTGAGTATCAACACCCACTCACCACGTTGCATTTTCAACCTTCTCTTCAGTAAGGTGCATTAGTCAGACTCCTGACATAAGCACCTTCAGGGCTTTTTTTCTATTCTTGTGGTTCTTTGAACTCAAGCCAGCCAGTGCCTCCCCAAAACATTAACAACTGTGGTAATAAATACATCTGATAAGAGTTCACAGAGCATTAGCATCAGCAAGCCAACAAATGGCTACCAAGTGTTGGAGAGCGCTATGTGCTGGGGATATATCACAGACCAGGGAGGGCAGCTGCCCTCCTGGGGGGTGTGGATGGGCACAGCTGACATGAATTGACTCACAGAGCTGCATGTCCCAGCCTCAAAGACTTCAGAAGCTTCTTGTTTGGGAGAGGAATATATTGTTTGTTCTTGTGATTCTAGTTTCATATGATTCACCAGAGAGAAAGAGATAGAAAGCCTGACTGACTCTGATTTGGTTGGGTTTGTTATTTTGTTTTTGGTTGGTTTGGAGGTTTTTTTGCTGGGTAGTGGTGTTCTGATTTCCTAGGCTTTAAGAGAGAAATGGTGTTTTATGTGCATGACTACTGAAATAACAGCAGAAACAGTTATCTCAGTGGGCTGGTGAGATGTGCTGAGCAGTCAGTCTGCTGGTTCACAGCATGAACAAGAAGATGTGGGCAGACGGTGGAGCTGGACCCAGAATTGGCAGAGTACTGATGAAATGGGTGTGCAAATGTGCTCTTTGTCTGATGTGGTGATGTGCTTGACACCCACAGAGGAGAGGCACATAGGTTAGGGGCACTTTCTGCTTTTGTTCCCATGAGATGTGGGCTCTGGGCTTCTCTGCTTAGCCTGCACTGTGTTACCAGTACAAAGCAGAAGGGCTCTCTCTCTCTCAGGCCATTCTTGAATTTCCTGGGGTGTCAGAACTTCCTGGGCAGCCTCCTGCCACAGGAGCCCCAAGTTGTGAGCCATCAGCTGCAGAGGTCTGACTGGGGTTTTGATGTTTTTCTCCTCTGATCTTAAGGTGTGATCCAGAGTGTGTGGGTGCATATTTCATGAGGGATCAGGTTTCAGGAGCAGATGTAAGGGCTTTTCTTTTTTCATACACTAAAGACTCAAGGTTGTGCTCAGTCTGTTCAGGTGCTGTTTATTTTTCTTCAGATACACAAAGGCTATCCACTGTCTTCTTACTGAACTGTATCTCAATCACCCAAGAAACTACACAGCAAGCTCTAGTGGGAAGTGAATTGTGCACTGTGTCTAGTTAAATCTGCAGAGGGGATACAGACAAATCTAGTGTAATTAGATTAGATTCCAAAGTGGAAGCTGGACAGAGCTTGAATTTGTGACTCCTCCTTGTTACTCCAGGTTTCATCAGGGGGAAGGGGAGATGTGCCGGCAACAGCAATGCCTCAGTCCAGAAAGGAGGCTCTGCAGTGTGTACTGCTCACTTGCTGACTTCAAACACGGTGTCAGAGCACAGGTACAAAGGCTGTGGGGGAGAAGGATGCACGTGGACTTCAGAGGAAACACTTGGCTACCACAGCTCTTCAGACAGACAAATGGGAAGAGTTTCTGAATTCTCACTGCAGGGATCTTAACTGCAGGTGTCACTGGAAATTTAGTGCAGCTGTCTTAAGGCACAGGCAAAGACAAACCAAAGGAGAAAAGCAATACCTCCAACTGAGGTACAGTCAGCAGTGAGGTTCTCTGAACAGGAACTGACATTTCTAATGACTTATGACAGAAAATGAAAATGCAAGTTTTATGTAGTGAAAGCCGCAGTATTGAGGACTTCTGCTTCAATTTCACTCAGCATTTCCCTGCTATTTGGTCTATTTTTGAGTAATTTGGCTTCTTGCATCTTCTGAATGGTGTCCTTCAACCTCAGCCCTTCTTCTGGGAATATATTTTTATTCTGAGCTGACAATTTGTGGCTAAGCTGATTTTGTTCTTTCACAACAGAGCTCTTTTGCTTGTACTGCAGGCAGTACTCACTGACTAGAGGGGAGAATCAAGTTGGAAGTGACATTTCCATCTAGGAAAAATATGATAGAGATTAATCCAATTTATAGTAGTACTTCTCAGTAAACATCTGAATGCATTCTTTCCTAACCAAAACTTTGAAGAGATGAATCTGGATTTCTTCAGTCTACATTAAAGTCCATAAATAAGAGGATAATTGTCAAATATATAACATTTTACAGCTGCTTTAAAACTTGCACCAAAACAAATTTTTATAGGAAAATGCAACTGTGAGGAAATTGACTTTTTTTTTCCTAGAAGAATGAACTATTTGATCAATGACTCTATCATCTTAATTCAAACATGTCTCGTTGGAACATACAAGAAACAAGTTTGGAATGGTGGTTCTTGTCAAGGTGGGTTTTGTCCCCCTCACTGCATTCTCTTTTCTGGCTGGAGTGGAGCATGAGGAGAACTGTGACAGTGTTGAGTGGATATAGATCCCAAGGACTGAAAAGCAGCAAAACCACCTGTAAGGATACATCTCCATGTGAAACAAAGCCAAAATGAACTAGTTTGAATTGGAAGACTTCAAAATGAAACTTTCCACAGGAGAACATTTCTACATATTTCACTGGGGGGTGAGGGTAATTCTTTTTTTTTCAGTTTTCATCCTGAACATGAGACAAAAACACTGTGTTGACATACTAGCACTGAAAGCGTTCCAGCGTTACTTGTTTAGCACAGTAAAGGCCAGTGTGTATGTAAACCATTTCTGAGGATATCAGAATCCTGGCCTGGCAGGTTACAGCAAGCAGAGAATTTCGTGTTTTAAACTAAGCAAAACTACTATCCCTGAGGACAAGCCACCAGACCTTTTAAGTTCCTGTTTTTAAATAAAAAACTAGGTCTTTCTAAAATCTGTCAAGATGTCTGGTGGAACCTTCTTTGATCTGTCCCTGATCAAACACAAATTGAGGTGTTGAATTAAGTCTAGATGGGAGGCAATGTATGGTGTTAGGGAGAAAGTGGTGGTGCAGATAAAGAGGACTAGGGTTACATGTCCTACAAGGTGCCTATTTTGTTTGTTCAGGTAATCACAATTATTACTCTGAGAACACTTCTCTTCATTACTCATGCCATTCATATGAATGTAATTCACATCTTAGTACAATTTAAAATTCTCAGTTGCCTTAGGAGGAGAAGGAGGCACCTTTTTGTTGGCCCTGCTTTTTGAAAGGCTGGTGCTTGTTGGCCTGCTGTAAAGATAAACTTCTGAGTCCTTCTAATGCACTTCATTGTACCTTAATAGCTGGATCCTGGTTTTGGCACAAGATGAGAAAGAAAACTAAAAAATGGTCTTGTAGTGACAGCAGCCACAGGGAAGGAACAGAAAAATGATAGGACAGACTGTGCTTATCAGGAGCTGCGCTTAGATGCAGCAGAGATGTTTTAAACTGGCAACAATTTCTCCTTTGATCTGCCAATGTACAGTTGAGGGAAATGTAAGAAGAGAGGCTTCAAAACTGGAGGCATTCTAATGTAGTAATTTCTAAAATATTTTAAAAGTATCTGAGAGATATGGTCAGATCAGAAGGGTAAAGGGCTGGAAGGTAGTGGACAGCTAAGAAGCATCATGCGAGAAGTAAAGGAAGAGAGCGGAGGAACTTTGCTAGGGGGTGCAGGTGAAGGAGGGAAAGACAGTGAAATCTTTGGCTTAGCTGGCAATGTCAGTGAGTAGGGTGGAAGCCAAGATTTTTTAAAGGGTCTGGCTGACAAACTCTGTAAAGCACTGCCACAAAACCCAGCATGGTAAAGTAGGCACACGAGTGCTTTGCTGAAAGGGTCTTAAAACAGTTTTCTGTTGGTTTGTTTTTTTTCTTTCTTCAGCCATTCCGTACCATCTTTAGCCATCTTCTACATATGTTGGCTATGTAGTGCACTGTAGTTTTTCCCTTTACCATGTTCAGGCCTTCTTTCTTTGCCACTCCCTTTCACATGTCATGAGACTCAAACCCAAAAAGAGTTTAACAAGTTCAGCTCACTGGCCTTTTAAAAGAGGGATGGGAGAGGTTGCTACTGCCTAAAATGTGGGCTGTTCCAAGGGGCTGGTGGCTCAGCCCCACGATGTAAAGGAGTGTTATTTCTGTAAAGGGCAGAAGGAATTGACCAAGGTCTGAAATAAGTCAGCAAATAAACAAGATAAACAAAGCACAAGTATCGTTTAGTTTCTTTCCATTCAGTGCCTAATACACTAATTTCACCACACAAAATACAAGCTGTTGCAATTACCCCAGGAATTAAGAAAAAGGAGAAACAGGAGTGTTCTTTTAGAAGTGGTTCTCATGTGAAGTTACAAAGATGACGTGCATTTCTAGCTACTGATTAGCTTTAAAACTATGCTATTCAAAAATCCACTCGAATTTTCTGTAAGATATTTAACTTCATAGACAGATTTTTCTACAGTTTACCTATTTGATTACTAGAACTGCTTGGGGAAATTGAACCATATTTCTGTACTCTGAGGTTCTGAGAAAAGACTGAAATAAAAAGGGGAACAGAGAGTTATGTGGCTGTAGACTTTAGGCTGGAGGTTTTTGACACTTACAAGGCCAGGCACAGAAAGCATTCCACTTAAGAGCAATGCAAAAGCAGTGACAACTCATTTCTGAAGCACTGAAAGTTTCTTTGGGTCAAGCCAAGGATGGCTCTGCTTGTAAGATAAAGAGTAGTATCAACAAATATTTCAGGGTGCTTTTCCTCCTCCATGCTGATGAGGAAAGCCTAGTACCTTTAAATCCAATTTACAACACAGTGGTTGGAGTTGTTCAAGAATCATAGAATGGTTTGGGTTGGAAGGGATCTTAAAGACTATTTAATTCCAACTCCACTGCTGTGCGGGGACACCTTCCACTAGACCAGGTTGCTCGACATCCCACCCAAACTGGCCTTGAACACTCCCAGGGAGGTGGCATTACACCATTCTTGCTGAAATGCTGCACAGCTATGGGAGCTGGGACCACACACTGGCATTGCTTTGAGTCATAGAATTATTACTCAGAATCTTTGAGCTTTTCTCTTTATGTCTTAACAGCAAACCTGTACTTCTAATTACTGCTTTTAAGCACCCTGGTACCACTGCAAATTGAATATCTAAATCCAAGAGGCACCTTTGGCCATTTGAAACTCCCAAGAAAAAGGTGTATGAGAATTCAGCATGTTATCTGTGCAAATCTGGACTGCTACATCCTGATTCTTCACACATCCAACTCTGTGCTGGAAATGGCTCTCCTTCACTATTGTATGCATAGAGTCATAGAGTATCCTCAGCTGGAAGGGACTCACAGGGATCATCAAGCCCAGTTCCTGGCCCTGCACAGAACTATCCTCAAGGGTCACACCATGTCCCTGAGAGCACTGTCCAAACACTTCTTGAACTCTGTCAAGCTTGGTGCTGTGAGCACTTCCCTGGGGAGCCTGTTCCAGTGCCCAAACACCCTCTGGGAGAAGAATCTTTTCCTAATATCCAACCTAAACCTCCCCTGACACAGCTTCAGGCAATTCCCTCAGGTGCTGTCACTGGTCACCACAGAGATCAGTGCCTGTCTCTCCACTTCCCCTCACAATGAAGCTCTAAACTGAACTGAGGTCTCCCCTCAGTCTCCTCTTCTCCAGGCTGAACAAAGAGTCCTCAGCTGCTCATGGCCCTCAAGGCCCTTCACCATCACCACAGCTCTCTTCTGGATGTCCTGGAACAGCCTTTTTATATTGTGGTGCCCCGAACTGCACACAATACTTCATGCATATTACCTTTTCTTTAACATTTGTATCTTCCCTTCCTTATAAAGACCTACCTTAAGTATGTAGCAGGTGAGCTTGTTACTTGGTTTTAAAGGCTTGTCAAGTGCACAACCCACCTGCTCTTGTACAGACAGCTGCTGCAGGCTATAAGGATACTGCTCTGATGAAGCTTCAGGTCATCAACACACTTATCCAGGGAAACTGTGATTTGAAGTCCCCAGGTATTCATACAGCCTAACAGGAGGAGAGAGGAGCAAAACCTCAGGGATTTAAGGCATAATTATTTTACAAGCAAGAGCTTGCATTCACCACTTTGTTTTTATGGAAGGCAGTTTTAAAGGTGCACACAGGTCCTCATGTTCTGTTTCCCAGTTCAACTGGACTTTACTGTTTTCAGATGTGACAACCCATAAATCAGAACAACTAAATGTCTTGAAGTTAACTGCATAGGCAGACTTTATGCCTGAACAAACATATTCAACCCTAGATGTGGTCTTAGCCCTGTGAAAATGTCAGTAATTGCTTTCAGTCTGAAGTGAAGTGATAGCTCAGGATGAAGGACTGCCTGGCTTTTCCCTGGCACTCTGCTCAGGCTACTTATAAAAGGGCAGCTCTAGGTTAGGTGAGGCCTCTGCTCTCCTCTGCTCTTTTTTCCATTCCCTATTTCTGTTCTTATTATCACAAAGCACTGAAGGAACACAGTCATTCCTACAAAATTACTGTGGTAAGTGGAAACTTTGCAAATAACCTAAATGGGTGACCACAGACATTATTTAGGGAGAACCCATGGGGCTTGAGGAGGGAGAGGAAGGGAAGCTGGCATTTATTTTGTTGTTTTACAGCTAAATCCCTAAGTTTAGTGGCTGAACAGCTGAAGTGACATGCTGAAGGAGACAGGTTCCTGACATCTCCTTTCTTCATCTCCTTCCAATTGGTCTCTCACAGAGAAATGCTGGAAGGCTTAGCAGTAATGTCTGAGGCATGAAAGTGCCCAGCTGACATCACACTCACTGCCAGAGGTTACAGATTTGTAGCAGGAGAAGAAAACACAAATTACATCCATCTTATTTCTCCCTTTACCTTGTAGTTTTTATTTCACAGCCTAGAAGAAACCCACATTTTTTGATAAAGACTCCTCAGATATATCTGTGCTGCTGAAATCTGTATTTTTTTAACTTAAATCACTATATACTCTATAAAGAATCCAGGCAAGCAGCTCCATGCACCCTACATGTTCTACCAGCTTGAGACCCTCCTAGCAGATTCTGCAGAGGACCAGGATCATCACACAGGACGGCTAAGTACTTAATGAAGCTGAAATTTGTGTTGGTTTTTCTTCTAGTTACCTGATCACAGTTACATCTGCATTACACTGAACAGGTTTGGTGCCTGTCCTCTGACTCTAAAGGCCAGTGGCACTGCCCAGCCTGTGTCCATGTGGCAGTATTTTCCTTTCTCCTAAAACAAGTCTCCATGATGTCTCCTGGGAACAGTTTCTGGCTTGTGTCTGGGCACTGCCTGAGAAGCATGGGCTGCATGGACCAAAGCCATCCCAAGAAGCATGCTGTCAGCATGAACTCATCAGTCACCCCTTCTGCCCTGTTTAGCTCATTATTTTTATATTGTAGTTATTAAAAAAAAGGAAGTGCTCTTCAGAAGAGAACAAAGTAGTTATAAAAACAATCCATTGGAATACAGACTTACAGGCAACTGTGCAACAGGGAAGCAGAGTATGGGGTGCTATGGGGACACAATGACCCAGTCCTTCCAAAACCATGCAGCAGTTCAATCTGCATTTTAGGAGGTTTTAGACCATGACTTTAGGAGCAACTGAAAAGAAAAAAAAAAAAAAAAAAAAAAAAAAAAAACAAAGTAACCATGCCTGGCAGCCTAACTCTTACTTACTGTGAACTGTAAAATAAACTCTGGAGGCAATGTTATGCTCTTAAGGAGCCACTGTCAAATTAAAAACAATAGAAAACACACTTGCATTTCAAATCTATTTGTCTCCTGGTATTGTATGTCACACAAACCTCAAAACAGATGCTATTAGCAGTATTTTATTCTTTCGCCTGGTGTGTTGGCAATCTTCAGAGCTATTTTGGTGGATCTTCCAACCAGCAACAGGAATGAGAAAACATTTTTGAAAGTGTGATTGTAAAACCACAAAATACTGACTTGGGAACTTGGTCACTTGTCCCTGAAGCTGCCCTTATTTCAAACCAAAAGGAACCCAGCAGACATGCACTAAACTCTAGATTCCCCACCCTAACTAGTCACCATTTCCTCAGCTATACACAAACTTAAAACAGTCTGGTTTAAAACTGTCACTGCTGGATGGGTTGTGCTACTCTGTAAATAAGGAGGTTTTCCCCTTCTCTATATCCAGAACCCTTAAGCCTATTTGCTTGTCTATTTTTTCCACAAGACAAATAGAACAAATGAAACTTCTGGCTTTGCCAGCGCCTGCTCCCTGGTTTGCTGAAGCATATTGATCTCTGGCTGGGCAAGCCATCCTCTCACAGGGCCCAGCTGCCCTGTTCTCTCACTGCCCTCCAGCAGAGCCTCCCCCAGCAATCAATAACTCTCCCGGAGCCTGCCTTTCCCAGGGAACGCAGTCCCTCTCTCCACCGGGCAGCTCAGGGAGGGAAATGAAGGCAGCAGCCGGGGCTGGCTGAAGCGATGGGCTGGGCTGGGCTGGGTTGCCCCAGCAACAGGGGGCACTTGGAAAGCCAAATCAGCTCACTGTCACTCCTCGGGCTCCAGGGCGCGTCTCACAGCCTGCAGCACCCTCCCAGGGGCCTCACTCCGACAGGCTGAAATGGAAAAACAGCCACCCTGACCAGGTCTAAATGGGAAGGGAGGTATTTTTGGATAAACAGAATATCTCATAGGATATTACTATTTTAATCAAATGCTGGTTTAGAACTGTGCCTCTTGCACAACTATGGGAAGATGCAGCCTGTAATTACATGAGATGTTCTAAGGTGTTTTTTTTCCTGTGGGATTCTAGCATCATTGGTGAGCAGAACAGCCAGTGACCACTTGGTGAGTGCCTGCTCAGTAATTTGATTTCTTTCTGTTCTGCCTGTGTTTGTGCATCTTCCTAAGCCAAATGTCGCACCAGCTGTGTTCTGCACAGAGGATTATTCATTGGTGTTCCTCGGGGGCTCAAGAGAGCACAGTTTCTCACCACTGCTAATGCAGATGTTGTTAGACACCTTCAGGAGCAGAGGAGCAAGTTTTCACACCAGTGTTACTACATGAGTGATGATGGCATCACGATGTTGTTACAGGAAAATTTCTTCCCATAGCAAAAGCAGACATCCTCTCTTTCTTGGTTCCTGTCTCCAGCTTCCCACTCCCACTCTGGCAGCACAGTTGGCTGCCTCCCTAGTAGCACTGACACCATCATTTACAAGGCTGGCCTGTAAATCATCTGCACTGCAAGCCCACAGACAGTGTCACTGTCTGTGCATTTGTGGGGCATTTGTGGAGCTGCCACACAGAGCAGGGAACAGCATAAGGGCAGATGTGAAGGAACTGAATTTTGATAGAAAATCTTCATTTAACTAAACCTTATGGCTGACAGAGAACAAGAACAAGCGACAAGGTACTTTGGATTCTGAATCTGAGACAACTTTTTTTTTTTTTTAATTACTTTTTCAAAGTATTTAGCTTTTTTTTTGAGGGGGGACTAGAAGTCTGGTGACCTCAGCTGTAGCCATGACAATGCAGGTTGCATATCTGAGAATGGGGCACGTACCTGCAGTGGCCACCAAGCCAGACTTTAAGCTGCTGCCCAGAGTTCAGAGTTATGTAAGCAGCTCTGTCATGCATGCTAAGTGGCATTTAACTGTCTTGCTCCTGAGACCATCCCATCTCCATCATGCCTCCCCACATCACTCACATGGTCCAGTTTTTGCAAAACAAGAACCGCAGCCACCCAGACAACATCCCTCTAAGTGTCCAACTACCATTCATCCCCAGAACACCTTCCACCACAAGCACTGCGGAACAGAGGCACCCTGTGGAAAACAACACACAATCTACCATTACAACATGCAACATGCTGAATATATGCAGGAGGAGGATAAATTAAGAACAAGCCCTGCAGCATAATCTTTCAGATCATATTTAAAGCAAAGAGAGGACACCCATCATCAGAATTCATGTATGTCACCACAAGATCATTAGCAGGCTTGATGAATGCTGTAACTCCACAACATGGCCTTCTGCCACTTGAGCTGGAGGATTAACCTCTGTCAGTGGCAAATTGCCATCTTTTACACTGATGAGCAGTGCAAGAGCTTGATGGTTTCTCACTGTTAAGCAGAGGAATAGCAAGTTGTGGGCG